GCAATCGTACCCATACAACATGCGCAGACCATTCTCGACATACTACCACCGCTGGAGGCGTAGATTGATCGCAGCCTACAGGAAGACGTCTTCCTCCCAGCACTCGCCAGGTTTTCAGACTGCGCGCGCAAACGCCCGCCCTAGTGCCGCGAGCTTAGACGGCATCACGAGACGATTGCTGGCAGCATTCGGCCCCGAGCTTGCAGAGCTGCAGTTTCGTGCGGTTGCGAAGGCCACCATGCGATTGCAGGAACCACAAGAATGGAAAGGGGGATCCGACTGGCAAATATGGAAGAGACCTGGAGATCCGTCTCGGCCTATTCACGCCAGAGCCGTCATGGCCCCCCCCCAAATCGGACAGAAATACAGGTCCCTGGTCCGCACGCCGCTCGCTGGGGCCCTTCCTGGATACGCTGGGGACTCGCAGTCCGGAGGCACCGCTGGTCGAGGGGTTGACCTCGCTGGTCTGGCGCTCAGGGCATACCAGAATCTAGCAGAGCTGTGTAACACCTCAATCATGTACCTTCTCATGGATGTGGTCCAGGCTTTTTTACGAGTCTGTCCGACAGCTGGCGATGAGATCAGGACACACACTGGAATGATTTGGCAGCGCCTTGGAGGGCCACAAGGCTGCCGCCCAACGCCATGCACCGACTGCTTGAACGTTTGAAGACGCACACTACCAGTGTGGAAACAACTCGAGTTGGTCCTCACCTAAGGGCCCTAGTGGCCTCCTCCTACTATGGGTCCTGGTTCCATTACCCTGGATCCTCTCTGGTGGCCTAATCTATGATTGGGACGGCCCCTGGATAGCAGCTGGGGCATGCCACTTTCAACGCCATCATGGCTGAATGCATGCAGCATGCCAAGGACCAACTCCAGCACCGCAGCTTAGCTCTCCAGGCTCCGACAGTGCCAGGAGCATCCATCGCCCAGATGAGGGGGCACGAGCCAGCGGCTACGCAGCCAAACTCAGATGCCCTTTTCTTTGACGACGGCGCCTTTGCCGCGGTAGGCGACCCGCTCCAGCAGATCGAGCTTGCGCCTCAGGTGGCAAGCATTGTCGCAGCAACTGTTGCATCCAGAGGCCCAGCGCTTAAGTTTAAGGCGGGGAAGACGGAACTGCTCATTCAGTTGCATGGCAAGCACGCACGAGCAGCACGGATTCGGCTATGAAAGCAGCTACACGGAACTTTCGAGTGGCACGGCGACGCTATGGGTCCTATGCGCCTTGGGGCGGTGCGTCAATATCCTCATCTGGTCTTGGATGAAAGGTGTAGCTTAGGGCCCGAGGTGGCCCATCGCATTGCGGGCACTGCACATGCCTCGCAAGTCTTGGGAAGGAAGGCTTCCAAAGCTGTTCACCAGAGCCCCGAGGCCCTCATCATGAATATGCGTTTCGTTGACTCGCTGCTCTCCTCCTCGCTCCTCTTCGACTCGGGCACATGGTGTAACATCGAATCCGAGGCATTCAACCAGCTGCGACACATTATGCTTAGGAGGTACCGCGCTGCGCGTGGCATGCATCAGTGTGACGACACAGCCACGGCGGACAAGGCAATGCTTGCAGCACTTTAGAGATCCGACCTCAGCGAGCAGCTCCGAATCCGCAGACTGCGACTCCTGGGACGTGTTTGGCACTTCGGTTCGGACACGGTGAAAAGCCTCATCTGGATCCTCACACGTAGCAGGGCAATCTGCCCGAGGTGTGGCCGGTGCTCGCTCGGCTCGCGAGAACGGTGCCCCCCGCGGCCGTGGCGGAGGAGCGTCGCCTGCCATCCAGGGCGGGCCTCAGTCATTTGAGTAGCTGCTCGAGCGAAGAGGGGGAGGGGGAGGAGGAGGAGGAGGAGGAGGAGGAGGAGGAGGAGGAGGAGGAGGAGGAGGAGGAGGAGGAGGAGGAGGAGGAGGAGGGGAGGAGGAGGAGGAGGAGGAGGAGGAGGAGGAGGAGGGGAGGAGGAGGAGGAGGGGGAGAGAGGAGGAGGAGGAGGAGGAGAAGGAGGAGAGGAGGAGGAGGAAGGAGGAGGGGGAGGAGGAGGAGGAGGAGGAGGAGGAGGAGGCGGAGCCTAATCTGGATCTGGACGGAAAACCTCCTGGTTACACCACACTGTGGATGATCTGGTCCGGCTCCGAGGCGTCCGCAGCCAGCTGCGTGAGCTGCCCGCTCCTCTGGAAGAGTGTTGTCCAGGGGAGCGCCGAGTGCTGCAGGCATTGCCGGCCTGGGAGCGCCTTCTCAAGGGGGCAGCGGCGGGCGCCGCGCGCGCGGCCACCAACGCAACTCTGGCAGAAGGAGCAGAAAAGGCATGTTTCAACACTGCGCAGCCTTGCGGCTTCCCGCTACCCATCACACATTCTGACTACCGCCTTCGCCGAGCGCAGGCCGCCGAAGTGGCCCCACTTGTCTGTCCGTGGTGCTCAGCTCAGTTCGACAGACCCAAGGATCTCCGACTGCATGTGGTTCAGAACCATTTCAGATTGGTTGCTCAGGTGGAGCGCTTCATGGGTGAGGGAACGGAGTGCAGGGCACGCAGTACGAATTTCGCGTCACGCCGGCAGCTCAGAGATCATCTAGCATATGACTCAGCGAGGTGCTGCCTGTCTCACATGTGCCATGGCCCTCAACTGTCACCTGAGGCAGCAGCACAAGCAGCTGATGAAGATCGCAGCCATTGCGCCAAGAGAAGGAGAGAAGGACTAGGCAGACGGAGATCTGCTTACCCAGCTACCACAGGAACCAGTGGGCTCATCTGGGAGGCCGCTTGGGTTTTCTCGCATTTCTCGGCGGAAGAGGCCCGGCAGGTTCTTCAAGAGACCCACTGCAAGATCCCTCAAGAGGCACTTCCTACTCTCCAGCGGGCCTGGCAGGACTCCAGCGAGGCACACCAAGGGGACCCACTACCACAGGTACAATATGCTGACAGATACTACATTTTCAGGTTTAACGACTACGAAGGTATCGCGACGGAGGCATTGCCCTATCGCATCATGCGCCCTGAAAGTTCATATGGAATCTCTTCTGCGACAGACGCCGCGAAGGGGACATCCAATGGTTTCTGTCAGATATGCAGGCCTCAGCGGACATCGTGATCACTGAACTATCGCTGGACATGGCTATACATGTCGTGATGGGGGATCTCACCGGAAAGGCCACGATCGATGAATGGACCACCTATGTCGGACAGCACAGGATCGGGTCACGGGGTGAGGTCCCCCTTGTGAGACGTGGAGCGCAGCGAGATGGAATCCAGGGGGCTCCCCACCGCTACGTACACACCAGTATATGTGGGGTGTCCCCTGGTGTACCGACGCGCAGCAGGAGCAACTACGTGTGGGCAACCTGTTGCTTGTCACTATCGCCCAATTGCTGGCAGAACACGTTCGAGCTGAGACAATTGGCTGGATAGAACACCCGCCGCAGGCCCATTGGCGACCGCAAGCGCCATAGTTTCCAGTGGTCTCCTCTCCTAGCTTTGGAATGTTGCCCGCAGGTCAGTATTATCCGTTTCGACCAATGCATGCACCAGGAAGGCGACCCACAGACTCATGGGAGGGGTGGCACTCGTATTTTAGCTCTTCGCCTACCTACGCTACATGGCCTACTCAAGGCTAACAATCAGGGCTTCTGTAATCATGGGGGGGGGGCGCACACAGCCCTGGTGAGCACCTTCAAAACGAGTAGCAAAAAGACGTACCCAAAATCCATGTGCCGTGCCCTAACACAAGCCATGTTCGATGCTGTCTCTGCCGCGCATTCTAATAACGACGATGTCACTCCACCTGATGACCCCACTGCGTATATTCTTGATGACGCTCTCATACGGAGATTCTTTGTGCCGTGGACAGACCGAGCAGTTCTGGGAAGCGCCCGACTATGCCGACAAGAAGGGAGACAGGCGTAAGCCCGATCGTGAGAGGTGGCGTTGGGACCCTCCCGACCCGCCTCCTCCCTTTTCCCCCACCCCTGCCTCCCATCTTGTGGCCTCTGTGGGCTCCAGGAGGGACCCGGTGGCGCTTCCGTCCGAGGCTCCCGAGGATCCTTGGCCGCATGATGCATTCGACCTCGAGGCGGACGAGGCCACCAGGGAGATAGGCGTGGACCGCCCCGCCCTTGGCCCTGCCTCTGGTGAGGCTCTCGTGCTGCCACCCTCCTCCTCCTCCTCCTCCTCCTCCTCCTCCTCCTCCTCCTCCTCCTCCTCCTCCTCCCCCTCCGACTGTTCAGCTTACGCCTGAGCAGCTTGCGCGTATCCGCAGGAAACGTGCAGACGCTGAGGAGCGCAAGCGCAATGCGCCCTGGCACTTCGAGGCCAATCTTTGGCCAGAGGGGCAATTCGTTGTGTCAGCTTACCCGTCTCGTGGGCTCTGTGGCCCCACGGGGCCGTCGAAAGGCATACGTCGTCAACCAACCGACCAGAGCACGACCGAGCGTCCCAGCCTCCGCCCGACCGACCGACCTCGCCTCCAGCCCCGGGCGGGCACGCCCGTTCCCAGCCCTGCGCCACGGAAACCTCCTTCGCCCTGCTCCTGCGCTCCTGTGCTCCCCCCCCCCCGCTCCTGCCTCTTTCGAGAGCCCTCAGGAGCACCTTCGGGAGCACACAGGGAATCTCCAGGGGCGTCGCGCGGCGCCTCCCGCCTCCGCCGACTCTCCCGCTGGGGGGGGGAGGGGGGCGTCCGAGACAGCGGCCTCCGCTCCCACACGGGGTAATCCTCAGTCGCGAGAGCTGCCCGAGGTCCATCGCTGCTGCTGCTCTTTCTCTCTCTCTCTCTCTCTCTAGTTATTGTTGTCTCTTTCTCTCTCTCTCTCTCCCTCTCTCTCTCTGGTGAGTGCGCGCTCCTGCTCCGCCGCCCCTCCCCCGCCTCTCGCTTCTTAGAAACACCCCTGCTTCTCAAAAGGCGCTGGCCTTGCCTGTTGCCGGCAGGGACCGCGCCTTCTGAGAAGCATGTGTTTTTCTGAAAAGCCTTCCCCCCTCCCCCATACCCCCCACTTTTTCTGCGCGTGGTCGAGCCTTGAGGAACTTGAACACCACGAGGAGGGGGTAGAAAGAAATGATGCGGCGAAACATGTACTGCAGGGGGGGAGCGGCGCGGGGACCGGCGTGGCCCCGGGCGCCGGTGCAAGCGGCGCCCTCCAACCCGCCCAACCGTGCATCGCGCTCACATACGTATACCGTGCATCTGTCAGACAGCGTGGACCCCGACAAATTACATCCAGAGTCCAATATTCCCAAACCCCAAACAACAGCGCTTTTTGAGCCAAGGTGGCTCCTAAGAGTGTTCGCGCGGGTCCCCGCTTCTGACTCGCATGCGCCTTCGGCGTCGCCGTTGAGCTTTACATGATCGTCGTCGTGTCCCCCCTCCCCCGCATCCAATGCAATTTCCGTCTCGCCCTCGCTTCATTTCCACTAAAACTCCCGCTTCTCCTCCTCATCATCATCATTATCATCGTCGTCGTCATCATCAGAATCATCTTCATCAGATTTCTCTCTTCGTCCTGGTTAACTTCCTTCTCGTCGTCATCCTCATCCTGGTCCTCCTGGTCCTACTCCCCATCTCCCTCTTCCTCCTGATCCTCCTCAAGCTCTTCCTCCTCCTCCCCCTCCTCTTCCTCCTTTTCCGCGCCCTCGTTTTGTATCTCCTCATATCGTTAATCCTCGTCTCCTCATGCGAAATCCCCATCATGTTCTAGGTGTTGCTGCTCGCCGTAGTTTTTCCTCCTCATCGACATCCTCTACCCCGTCATCGGATTCCTCTGTATTTCTCCCCCTGCTCCTTCCGCTCCTCATCCCGATCCCCATCCTCATCCTCCTCCTCCTCCTGCCGGAGTTGATCCTCCTTGTGTTCCTCGTGTTCCTCCTCGTGTTCCTTGTCCTCCTCCGGTTCGCAGTGTTTCTCCCACACTTCCCCCTTCTCATCCTCCTTCTCTTCCACGCATTCCATGTCTTCCTCCTCATCCTCCTCGTAATCGCATTCCTCCTCCTCCTCTTCCTTCTCCTTCTCCTCCTCCTGTCCCACCTCTTTATCATCAACATCCTCCAACTAAAGATCACCACTTCAAACCAGGATCAAAAACATCAGTATAACCGCCACCATCAGCACCATCATCAGCATCATTAACATCATCAACGTCGCCATCACCATCATCGCCATCATCACCGCCATCATCATCATGGTCATCAACATCACCATCATCATTATCATCCTCATCATCATTATTGTTCTCATGATCCTCCTCCTCGCCTTCCCCGTCCTGTTCCTTTCCTCCTCCTCCTACTATTTCTCCTGCTCGTCATGGTCCTCCTGCTCCTCCTCTTCTTCCTCTTTCTCCTCCTCATTATTCTTCCTCCTCCCTTTGTTCTCAGCCATGCCAGGGATAGCTTCGCACTCTCGATGTCGCTTCCAGGAAGCACCCTAGCATGGGTGCCCTCTAGCAGGTAGCGCTTCAGCCTGATCCCGCTTCCATGCATTATTCCTCTCGCGCCGCATTTCGGAGCTCTTTTCTCTTCCCTTTCCTCCCCCATCCTGCCTGCTTCCTGCTAGCCAAGCTCTCGCTCCAGCATGCCTCCCCCTAGTAAGCCCTTACATGTTACTTTTGAATCGTGCTCGCTGAATCGGAACGGGCTGGACCACCTCGCGTGCGACAGCTGGGAGCTCAGAGTTGCGAGGACGTCTCAGACGGCGCTCAGACGGCGCCCAGACCCAGACGGCGCCCAGACCCAGACCCAGACCGTCTCAGACGGCGCCCAGACGTCTCAGACGGCGCTCAGAGCACAATTCGACAACAAAGGTGACACAAAAGGATTCGTTCGGGTCTGATTCCACCTCCCTCCTTTCTCCTCCGCCTTGCAGCCCAGAAGTCCGAGGAGATCCCAGGCGAAACGGGCCAGACCACCTCGCCCGCAGCATCCCAGAGCCCCGAATGGCGAGGATACCTCGAGCGAAAACAGGCCGCGTTGCGCACAAATTCGAAGTCCAGATTGCAAGGCTTTCTCAGGCTCCTCCTCCTCCTCCTCCTCCTCCTCCTCCTCCTCCTCCTCCTCTTCCTCCTCCTCCTCCTCCTCCTCCTCGAAGCGAGCTGTGCCACCACTCGCGCAGCATCTCGGCGCTCTCGCCTCTCCCCTGGCTCCTCCCCCCGATCCTGCCCCCCCTCCCTGCTCGCCGCGCTCTCGCTCGAGGCGTCTCCACGACTGAAGGCGCCCCAGGACACACAAATAGATACACACAAATAAAATGATTCCCCATGTTTTCCCATATTTCCTGGGTTTCTGTCTCCCCCCCCACTTCCCGTATTTTCCTATGTTTTCTGGGGAATCGAGGATTAATTGTGTGTGTTTTTTCCTCTCCTGAAAATGGTTCGCTTGGGGTCTGAAGCCTCCACGCCCCTCGCTCCTCACTCTCGGAGCTCAGAACTGCGCAACACCTCTCACGCAACATCCCGGGACTCTGGGGTGCGCGTTTCAAGCAAAACGCGCCGGACGACCTCTCGCGCGGCATGTCGGAGCGAAGGGTTGCAAGGAGGTCTCAAGCGAAACGCGCTGGACCACCTCGCGCGGCTTAGTGTTTCGAGGATGTCTCAGGCAAAGCGGTCCGGAGCACCTCACGCGCGGCGTCCCCGAGTCCAGGTTTTCGAGGGACGTCTCAAGCGAAACAGCCAATCCACGACATCTCAGAAACGAGAAATGTGAGGATGTCACATGCGAAACGGCCCAGAACACAACTTTGTGTTTGGGGATGTCGCTGCTCCCGTTTTCCTCGGCCGGAAGTAGCTTCTACCACAACAGAACCCCGTTCAGGAAACAGTCTGGGGAATAAGATACTGCACCGTGGATAAATAAGCTATGTGGTGGTGCAAGATCTGTGGTGTAGGCTATGTGCTGCAATATCCGTGGTGCACTCTGCGTGGTGCAGGCTGTGTGGTGCAAACTATGTGGTGCAATTAACTTCTGTTCGCAAGGAGTTGTCCACTCCACTGCTCGCGCAAACATCCCACCCACCCACCCGCAACTTGGTTTGCAAAATATCTTAAGACCGTGACGGTGGGTACCACATGGCACTTGGCAACAACAGCGACACCGACGACGACAGCGACAGCGACGATGACGACGCCGCCGACAACGACTACGACGACACCGACGACGTCTCCAACGACTTCGACGACGCCGACAACGACGACTACGACGACGACGACGACGACGACGACGACGGACGACACCGACGCCGACGACGACGACGACGATGACAACGACGACGACGATGACGACGCCGACGACGACGATAACGACGACACCGACGACGACGACGACGTCAACGACGCCGACGACGACGACGACGACGACGGCGGCGACGACGACGACGCCGACGTCGACGACGACGAAGACGACAACGACGCCGACGCCGACGACGAAGACGACGACGACGACGTCGCCAACGAAGACAACGAGGAAGAGGGAGGACGACGGCGACAACGACGACAACGACGAGGGAGGAGGGAGGACGGCGACGACGCGAACGACGAAAAATGAGGAAGGACGGCGACGCCGACGACGGCAACGACGAGGGAGGAGGGAAGACGACGACGACGACGACGACGACGACGACGACGGCGACGACGCACGACGGCGACGAAATACGAGGACCGACGACGACGGACGACGACGGACGACGAGCGAGGAGCGAGGAATGGCGACCCCTTCTCCCCGGACAACGACGACGGAAGGGCCACGACGCAAGAGAACGACGACGACGAACACGAGCAAAGACAGAAGAGGCCGAGTAGGCGACGACGACGACGACGACGACGGACAACGGACGCCGGGGGGAGGGAGGACGGCGACGACGACGACCGACGACGACGCAAAGAGCGACGCGCGCACGCTAGTGTGAAATAATCCGGTTGCGAAACCTGATGGTTTTGTAGGTTTTTTGGACGCACGACTTTGAAATCCTCTGATGACGATGTGTTTGAAGGTGTTCGCTACGCGCGCGCCGACGCGCGCGTCTGCACTTCGTCCCATTTCTTGCAGAGGATTCTCGCGACGGCACAGGCGCAAGGGCTTTCGACAGATTTCGACACGCGCGCGCGCGAAGCCCGTTTGGTAGTATTTTATGAAAATCTTGAAAAACCCATGGTTTTGTCAAGATTTCGCAAGAGCTCGCGCGGAAGTGTTCTTTAGCAAATCTGTGTTGCGAAACCTTATGTCTTCGTATGTGTTTTGGAAACTCGATTGCGAAATCCTTCGGAACCGAATGTTTTTGTGAAGGATTTTACGGAATGCGCGCGCGACGAAGCGGCGCGTGCGCACTTCGTTTCATTTGTTGCAAGGGATTCGTGAACAACTGCCATGTTAGAACAAACGCTGTCACCGCATAGTTTTTTTACAAGGGAACCTCAGGGGTGGGATGGTACGATTTCATTTTTAAGATGGACGAGTGTGCAGAATATATATATATATATATATATACATATATATATATACACGCATATATGAAACTATACTATCCCAGGGGGAAGCGTTAAGTCCGGGGCGGGGGGTAGAGTCTATTCTCTTTTTCGAAAAAAGAACTGATTTTGTAAACGAGTTGACAAGTCCCATGCTTTTGTAAACATCCCACCCACCCGCCCGCAACGTGATTTGCAAATCCCACGCGGTGGCGATTGCGATGAATGCTTGGCGTTGGCTGGTGCATCCCTGCAGCCGCGCTGACCCGCGCACGCTCGCACGCACAGCGGCCGGCTAAATTGGCGCGACCGACGCGGACGCGGTGGCGCTGACCGCTGGGCACTTCCCAGCGGGCGCATATGTGCGAAACGGTGACTTGGGCGGGCGCGGTATCATGGCGACGCCGACACCGGTAGACACGATTATGAGAGTAACGATGATGGTGGCGATGGTGGCGACG